ATACACTACATTTATTATACACACTGCATTCACTACAAATACACTACATTCATTATAAACACTCTGCACTCACTACAAATACACTACAATTATTATTCATACTCTGCACTCACTACAAACACACTACATTCATTATACACACCCTGCACTGCACTATATGCATAGTTTTTTTAAAGTCTTGGGTGAGTTCCCACACTTTTTTCCCCAGGACTTGACCCCTGGGTTAATCCAATTGCTCTCCGCTGGGAACAAAGATTCAGCATACAAAATCACAGGAACACAGCATAATCCACCTCCCCAAGGACTAGACGACACATAGTCTGGGAGTCAACTGTCAGCTTTATTCACAGGTCTGCTTTTATGCATTTCTCCCATGCAAGGGAGGTAACTTTCATAATTTGTACAGTAACCAATTGTAACCCGGTCACCTCCCCTCCCTCTCCTCCCCTTAGATTAGCACTTAGATTAGTGGGGACAGAGTTTTCCCCACTTTCTGGATGTCCCCTAAATACAGGGGGTACAGGGACAAATAAGGGGTCCCCTGGTAGGTCTGATCTGGGTGAGCAACATACTTGAAATTCACCCAGATCGGACCCAGGGTTCGGGAGTTACAAACCGTTAAAGATTTGACCGACCGCAGGAAGTAGCCGAAAACAGTTCCATGAATTCTGGCCCTGCGATCGGTCTATTTTAGTGAATCACAAGTACCGAACAGTTAGCCATCCATGCGATTGCTACCATTCGTAGGATTCCCCTCGTTTAGGGGAATCTATCTACCGAACGCCGGGGCGTTCGTGTGTTAGATTTGTACTGTCGGAGCATGGGTCTTAGCGGTGCTTGGTTAGTCGAATGCCCGGTTTGAATCCCCCTCTGATGAGCTTCACTGGTGCACGTCAGGGGCTCTGGACACTTACTGACACATTATTGGTGTCGGCACCTAACTCTCTGCTTATCTATTGCTAAATTACCGACATCAAGTTCATTCATGTCCAGCATCTCAGGAGTGCATATTGGAGACTCTTAACACTAATTTTGTGTACTCTGTACATACTTTATTTCTCTTTCTTTTTCCTTTATTATGTTTATGGGGGAGATTGATAAGACCAGGCATTTTACTAAGGGGTGCCCTCGAAGGCACAAGACTCAGGAATCTTTATTCTATATGACTTCCTCTGTCACTGTCTGTATATTTTCTACTACCTAGGCAACCTGTTCAAAACGGTTTGTAAACCCTCTCTATATACTTTGACCTATTATTTAGATGCAGCTAGCACTTAGGGAACTTGTGTGATTTTTAACCGGTTAACTGCTGCCTGTCAGCAGTCCTTCACAGGTGAGCTACTACTTTGTGCTCCGCTGTGGTCAAGCATAAGTTAACATCATTCAGTGCAGGCAGCTGTTGTTACACTAGAATATACTGCTAGGTATCTTGCAGGAAAAAAACGGAGCCAGGTCAGCAACCCCTTATTTTATACTTTACTGCTTGACAGCAAGCTTTAATTTATTATCAAAATGCTGCTATGATCTAGGCAGCTTTTGTGATATTTAACTGGCTAATCGCCGCCTGCCAGAAATCTGTCTCAGCTGAACCATTATCTTTGATCTTTCTGAGGTTAAGTACCATAGAACATTACCAATTATTGTATGTGGAGTTAACCCATGTCGTTAGTTGTACTATCATGTAGGGATTTACTTATCCATATCTTTAACTATTGACAGCACTGCTTTAGCAGTCGTCTTATCTCCCCCCTCTTGTTACAGCTATTAGTGATAAATAATATAGTATCACTTCTATTACTTGGGAATACACTGTTATATTGTAGCTAAACAGTATTGCTTCAGCATTAGTGTTATTATGTATACACTTTTACAGCTTGTATAAGTAGTCACAGAGTTTTACTCGCTGTATAGTCTCCATTTACTCCTGCTGTTAATATTATTTTTCTTTTTTATATTTTTATTTTAGATTTATTTATTAACCCCTTAAGGACGGAGCCAAATGTTCACATTGTGAACGAAACAAAATATAAACAAAACCTGGCATTTGCGCTACATGTCTGTCCAACCGTAATACACCTCTTTCATAGTAAATGCACCCACACTTATTATATATCATTTTATTCAGGGGAAACAGGGCTTTCATTTAATATCAAATATTTAGCTATGAAACATAATTTAATATGAAAAAAATGGGAGAAAATAAGATTTTTTTTATTTTTTTAGTTCTACATGACATTTTAACGGTCATGTCATAATACTGTTTGCTTTTACTGCAATAAAATACACATATTTGTATTTAGTAAAGTCTCACGTGTAAGACAGTACCCCCTATGTACAGGTTTTATGGCGTTTTGGGAAGTTACAGGGTCAAATATAGCACATTACATTTGAAATTGAAATTAGCCAGATTGGTTACGTTGCCTTTGGGACTTTATAGTAGCCCAGGAATGAAATTTACACCCATAATGGCATACCATTTACAATAGTAGACAACCCAAGGTATTGCAAATGGGGTATGTCCAGTCTTTTTAGTAGCCATTTGGTCACAAACACTGGCCAAAGTTAGCGTTAGTATCTGTTTGTGTGAAAAATGCAAAAAAACGCCAATTTTGGCCAGTGTTTGTGACTAAGTGGCTACTAAAAAAGACTGGACATACCCTGTTTGCAATACCTTGGGTTGTCTACTATTGCAAATGGTATGCCATCATAGGGGTAATTGTGACTTTTCATTCTTGGGCTACCATAGGGTCACGAAGGCAACGTAACCAATCTGGCGAATTTTAATGTGAAAAAAATGAAACACAAGCCTTATATTTGACGCTGTAACTTTTGAAAACACCATAAAACCTGTACATGAGGGGTACTGTTGTACTCGGGAGACTTCGCTGAACACAAATATTTGTGTTTCAAAACAGTAAAAAGTATTGCAGCAATAATATCATCCGTGCAAGTGCTGTTTGTGCGTGAAAAATGCAAAAAACTTCACTTTTACTGGCGATATCATTGTTGTAATACATTTTACTGTTTTGAAACACTAATATTTGTGTTCAGCGAAGTCTCCCGAGTAAAACAGTACCCCCAATTTACAGGTTTTATGGTGTCTTGGAAAGTTATAGGGTTAAATATAGTGCTAGCAAATTAAATTCCCTATACTTTCGGCATGGGTTGTCAGGCAGGTCCCGCTAATTGTAATTAATTAGGATACCTAATTATGTAAAAATATTGCATAAATATATGTGTAGAATTAATATATGTATATATATACATATGTGTATATATACATATATATATAATTTTTTTAAATATTTTTATTTATATATAGGTGTATATATATAGTGATATATACGTATATATTTATGTATATAGATATATATATTAGTTCGTTCTACGTGTATTTTGATATAAATATATATATTAATATCACAATACAGTTAGAACGAAATAACAAACATCTATATATTTTTTAATTATTTATTTTTAATTATTTTTTAAATTTATTTTACGTATTTACATTTTTTTATATTATATATAAATATATATATATATATATAACAATAATTATATATATATTTAATTAGTATCAGTCTACGTGTAATTCAATAGTAATATATATATATAGAGATAAATTTACTCATACTTACCGTAATTTTCTTTTCCTGGTCATAGTCCATGGCAGCACAACAATGGGTAGCTCCTCCCCTATCCCTAGTTAGACAGGAACTAATTAAAATAAGGGTACAAATACCCCCTCCTACCTCCTCCTCCCTCAGTCTAGTTAACAGCAATATCCCTTGGTGGGACCTTTGTGCTGCCATGGCCTATGACCAGGAAAAGAAAATTACGGTAAGTATGAGTAAATTTATCTCTTTCCTGGCCATATCCATGGCAGCACAACAATGGGTAATACCCAAGCTAAAACCAAGGGAGGGAAAGAAAAACTCAGACACATTATTAAATAATGCAAGTGTATTGTCACAAACAACTCAATGTGATAAACAAAAAAAAGAATAGTAGATAGTCCTATGAGGCAGAAAGAACTGATCTGCCAAATCCATCGTATTGGCCAGCTCTTACATCTAAACGATAATGTCTAATAAATGTATTAGAAGATGACCAAGTGGCTGCTTTGCAAATCAGTTCTGTAGAAACCTTTGCTGCAGCTGCCCAGGATGAAGAAAGGGAACGTGTAGAGTGAGCCTTCAAACCTTCAGGAACACTAGTTTTGGATGACCTATAAGATTGGATAATGGCCGAAACTATCCATCTGCTGATAGTGGCTTTCGAAGCTTGCAGACCCTTCCTAGGGCCATTAGGAATAACAAAGAGCCTTTCCGAAATTCGCCATTCTGAGGATCTCTGTATATAAATCTTAAGGCATCTTACTAGGTCGATAGCATCATCATCAGCGTTTTCCCTGTTATTAGATTCTTCTGTGCTTAATGCTGGAAGGATTATCTCTTCATTCATATGGAACTCTGAAGTCACCTTTGGGCGGAATTCTGGAACCGTTCTTAGGATGACTCTGTCCTTATGAAATATCGTAAAAGGTTCTCGAGCCGAAAGAGCCTGGAGATCAGAAACCCTTCTACCAGAGGCTAGGGCTACTAGTAGAACTGTCTTGATCGTGAGAAGATGACAGGAAATTGATGTCATAGGTTCAAAAGGATCTGCTTTAAGAGCCTTCAGGACCAGAGGGAGATCCCATGGCGGAGTAATAGACTTAATGGGAGGCTTGATCTTGAGGACTGCAGTTAGAAATCTAGCTATGTCCGGATCCAGTGCCCATCTATGAGTAGTTAAAGCAGAGAGGGCAGAAACATGCACCTTTAGAGTGTTATAACTCAATCCCTTCTCTAGACCTGATTGTAAAAAATCAAGAATGTCAGTAGTCGAAGGGTTCAACATATCAAAGGGCCTTGAACTGGCCCATGAAGAAAATACATCCCATATTCTGTAGTAAGTGGATGAAGTAGACTTCTTCCTTGCTTGAAGAAGTGTCTCGATAACTGATCTTGAAAATCCCTTGTTCTTTAACCCATCCCTTTCAAGTACCATGCCATCAGACGAAGGGATGCTGGGTTTGGATGGTGAATTGGACCCTGATGTAACAGGAATGGGACAACTGGAAGGCGCCATGGATCCTTCTTGCACAGACTTAGTAGGAGCGGAAACCAAGGTCTGCGAGGCCAAAAAGGGGCTATTAGAATCAGTGATGTCTTCTCTTGTCGTAGTCTCCTTAGCAGAGGGAAGATGAGGGGTTTCGGAGGAAAGGCATAAGCCAGGTCGAAGTTCCAACTGCATGTCAATGCGTCTCTTCCTATGGCCTGGGGATCTAGAATTCTCGAAAAGAAGTTCTTGACTTTTCTGTTGTTGCTTGTAGCCATTAGATCTATCTGGGGAAGGCCCCATTTTTCTACGATCTGTAGAAATATGATGTCCGATAGACTCCATTCTCCCGGGTCTAATTTCACCCTGCTGAGAAAGTCTGCCACCGAGTTCTGAGTTCCTGGGAGATGTATTGCAGAGATATTCTCCAAGTTCATTTGAGCCCAGGCCATCAAAGGTTTCATCAGTTTCATCATTCTGCAACTTCTTGTTCCTCCTTGGTGATTTATATATGCCACAACAGTGGCATTGTCTGTCCTGATCTTGACCCATTTGTGAAGTAAAAGCTGCCGGAAGTGTATTAGAGCCTTGAAAACTGCCAGAAGTTCTAGAAGATTCGAAGGGGTGTCGGAGGTTGAAAATGCCCATTTCCCCTGAACATAGTTGTCTTGAAGGTGGGCTCCCCAGCCCCATTGACTGGCATCTGTGGTGATGATGATCCATGGAATGTTTCCTAAGGGATAACCTCTGAAGAGAGACTCTTTGTGGGTCCACCACTTCAGGGATTCTTGTACGTGAGGAGGGATCATTATAGGTTGAGACAGATTGCCCTTGAATTGATAAAGGAAATTCTTTTGGAAAGGCCTCATTCTCCATTGAGCCCATCTTGTAAGTCCTATAGTGGAGGACATTGATCCCAGGAGGCTCATGATTGTCTCTGCTGAGGAAACACTGGATGCCAACATGTTTTTGACCTTTTCCCGAATTTTCATACCCCTTTCTGGGGATAGTTGGACGGACCCCTCTGCAGTGTTGAATGCTGCTCCTAGATATATCATGTTCTGGGATGGTTTTAAGTTGCTTTTGGCGAAATTGATCTTCCATCCGTGTTGTTGAAGATACTGTATACATATCAGGCCGTGATCTTCTAATATTTCTCTGTTTTCTGCCAGAATCAGGATGTCGTCGAGGTAGTGATATACTGCAATGCCTTTCTTCCTGAGTTCTGCGATGAGAACCACCAGAACTTTTGAGAAAGTGCGTGGAGCAGTGCTTAGCCCAAAGGGGAGAGCACGGAACTGAAAATGCCCCTCTTCCACAGCGAATCTGAGGAATCTTTGATGCTGGGGTGCTATGGGAATATGGAAATATGCATCTGCCAGGTCTATTGACATGAGCCATTGATTTGGAAAAACTGCTTTTACAATGGATTGAAGAGACTCCATCTTGAATTTCCTTATGTTTAGGAACTTGTTTAGTCGGCTTAGGTCTAATATAGGTCTCCATCCTCCTGTGGATTTTCTGGTGAGGAAGATATGGGAGTAAAACCCGTATGTTTGTTGAGCTCTTGGAACTTGAACGATGACTCCATCGTCTTGAAGGGATGAGATAAACTTTTTTAGGGAATCTCTTTTTTCTGCATCTCTCGGCCAGATTGTCTTCTGGAAGGAGCGAGGTGGCGGCCTTGTGGAGAATTCTATAAGATATCCTCTTTGTATGATATCCAGCACCCATCTGTCTTGAGTTGAATTTTTCCACATATTCTGGAAAAGTAGTAGACGGGCACCTACTCCTCCAGAATGGTGAGTGGGTTTGTCATAAAGGCTTCTTGTGAAATGAGGAACCTCTAGACTTTCCTCCTCTGTTGGATGAATGTCCGCCTCTCCATGGAATAGACCTTCCATATTCTCTTCCCGGTTTATAAGATCTGGTATCGCGAAAGGAGGGGTACTCAGAGTATCTTCTGGCTCGAAAGGATCCACGGGTTTTCCGGTCTTGTGGAAGAAAGGCTTTTTTACCTTCTGCAGCTCTTTTGATGCACTCGTCTAGGTTTTTACCAAACAACATCTCACCATGAAAAGGAAGGGCGCATAGACTAGACTTTGATGATGAATCTGCGGACCAGGATCTCAACCATAAAGCTCTTCTGGCTGAAATTGAAAGAGCCATATTCCTTGCTAAGGCTTTCACCATGTCTACCGAAGATTCTGACGTAAAGTCAACGGCCAGTTTAATATCATTTAATCTTTCCAGAAGAGAAGATCTGTTTCTCCCATCTCTGATATCCTCTTCCAAGTTTTCGATCCAGATTTTCAAGGCCCTGGACACTGAAGTAAGGGCTATTGCAGGGTGAAAACCAGTCCCTGCTGCAACATAAGCCTTTGAGAGATGCAGATCCATCTTCTTGTCCATTGGGTGTCTAAATGAGCCTGCATCATCTACTGGTAATGTGGTATGTTTTGCAAGTCGAACTACTGCCGCATCCACCTTAGGGGCATTATCCCAATGGTATGAATCAGATTTGTCAAAAGGATAGAGGCGAGAAATTCTGCCTTGTGCTGAAAGCTTCTTATCTGTATTAGACCATTCGTCTTTAATTAATTCCTTAATCGTATCATGCACTGGAAAGGTTGCTCTTTTCTTTCTCAAGTCTGAGAAATAACGATAAGAGGTTGACTGTTCTGCAACTGCCTCTCTTAAGCTCAAAGATTTACGGACTTTGTAAATGAGGTGGTCTATCTGAGCAGGTTCTAGAAAATCTGCAGGGGCCTGAGTTTCTTCTTCGTCTGAAGATAAGAAATTCCCCTGGTATGATTCCATATCCATGGATTCATCTGACGAATCATGATGTTGGTAATCCGAAGGTTCATGTAACCGGGGTCTTTTGTGACTTGCCCCTGCTTCTTTGATACCTTGAGCCACTGCTTGTTTTATGAATTGTACAAATTCCATTGAAGGATTAGATGTTCCAGCTGCTTCAGATAAACATTCTGCACATAACCGTTTGCCCTCCAGCGGTTTTTTATTACAGGCTTCGCATTGATTTTTCTTTGGAGATTTTCCTTTGGATGATCTCACTGTTTTCTTTCCCGTAGAACTATCATGATAGGGAAATATCTCATATTAGCACTCTTTTACTTTATGTATTCCATGTTAAGAAAAATTAATGATATGATATGGCTTACCTATAACTCCTAGAGTGTGACCTATTTTTATATCCAGAAGAATCCGAATCGGAAGACATTGATCTCCTTTTGTCTTTCTCCATTGTGGAGATGATTATGAAATAGTCTAGAAAAGTAATTTAATTAGTATAGAAAGAAAGGAAATGGGAATTGTGAGAAAAAAAAAAAATTATGTGTATATACCTTTAAGAAGTAAAACTTACCTTCAAATATTTCTTGCAAAGGAAATGCTATTCAAAGTAGAAAATGTATGAAAACAGGACTTCTAGAGTCCTAATAAGAACCTCAGGTACACTCTATATACGCTTTTGGCGCTTAAATAGGCGTGTGACGTCATATCTGACGTCACCGCCTATTCGCGCATGCTCAGAACGAGCGAATTCACCGCTCGCCAACTGCGCATGCGCGGCACAAACCCGGAAGCAACCTCCTTGCCGGAGGCACCCTTGCTGCAGCCGGAACCCAAGTGCCGGCTTAGGCGCGCGCAAGGACATAGCGTGCACGCGAAACTGGCGTGCACGCGAAGCTAATGTGCCCGTGAATGAGCGGGCACGCGCGAAAACGGCGCACATGCGCCCCAGGAGTTCCAGGACGCCGGGAAGGCTAGTGTGATACCTTGAGCCACCAAAAAGTTAGAGAAAGAAAGGTAGGGGGGGGGGAACCCCACACATATGTAATTAAAATAATATATGCAGAAAGTATTTGTTTAGATCACTGTTTTCATACATACATGTGGGGTTTTGTACTTCAATGTAGAAATCCATCCAGAATAGGGTCTTCTCGCCACTTCCTGCTACCTCTTGGTCACTGCAGGGAATCAGAATTATTTGGCATTTATTTTCTCTTGCTACCCCTAGGGTCACTGCAAGTAGGACCCCCGGTCACTAAGGGGGTATCTTCAGGGGGACACCTTTGCACAGGGCCGGATACTGAAGCTTCCCAAGGAAGAGAGGCTGAACTTCCTTGGGGGTAGAAGGTAAAAACCCTCAGGTAAGCCATAAAAGAAAAGTGATTATAGTCCTAAAATAGACTAATTTGGTCCTACAGGGATAGGACAGGAACAAAAAGACTGAGGGAGGAGGAGGTAGGAGGGGGTATTTGTACCCTTATTTTAATTGGTTCCTGTCTAACTAGGGATAGGGGAGGAGCTACCCATTGTTGTGCTGCCATGGCCTATGACCAGGAAAAGAAAATTACGGTAAGTATGAGTAAATTTATCTCTCTCTCTCTCTCTCTCTCTCTATATATATATATATATATATATATATATATATATATATATATATATATATATATATATATATATATATATATATATATATATATATAAATAATCAAAGTATATTTTATTTGTAACTGTAACATATTTTATTTTTAACTAATATTTTATTTTTCACAGGAGAGGGGCAGAGACAGTGTCAGCCAGTGATTTCACATCACTGGCTGACACACAGGATCAGTGATCACAGTGACTGGCTGTCACTGTGATCACCTCCTGCAGATTGGGTAATTGGCCACAGGGGGGAGTGCCTGGGTGGTACAAGCACTCCCCCCTTCCAATCTGCAGGGGGATCTTTGTGCCAGTTACATGTGTCAGCCAATAGGCTGACACATGTAACACTGATCACAGTGACAGGCTGTCACTGCGATCAGAGCGCTCTGAGATCGCAGTGACAGCCTGTCACTGCGATCTCAGAAGGTGCAGATCACGGTCACTGACCCCAGGGGGACTGCCTGGGGGGCCAGGTAAGTCCCCCGACCGCGATCTGCACGGGGTAGCCGCTGGCCACGTGTGTCAGCACGTTAAAAACTGATCGCAGTGACAGCCTGTCACTGCGATCAGTGACTGCAGATCGCGGTCACCGGCCACAGGGGGGGTTGCCTAGGGGGCCGGGCATCCCCCCCGACCGCGATCTGCAGCGGGCGACTAGCGCCGGCCACATGGGCGGCCATTAAAGTGAGGGCGTACTATTAC